TTCGAGGGACGTCATCGAGTTGAACGTGTGCAGAACTCGGAGGTGTCGTGCGTTCGGTACTTGATTGGTCGGATCGTGAAGACGTACGACTACATCAGCCACGTTGTGCTAACGCTTCCACTTTCGGTCTACGAGGGTACGTGGACAACACTCTCCCCTCTCGTTGCTATGCATCACCATGATCTTGTGTGTGTGTAGGAAATTTTTGAAATTACTACGTTCACCAACAACCACCCTCGCCGACCGTGCAGACGTTGCCATGGCCGGAACATTACAAGACTCCGTACTACTATGCCACCAAGCAGCTGGGTAGGCAGTCCCCGACAACCATCGATGTGCCGTTCATCGTCAACGTCAACGTCAACACGGCGTCGTTGATTTTCTCGGAGTGTTCATCGTCGTAGCTTGTCTGGATGCAGACACTGGGCGTGGAGCAGCTGGGTGCCCGCATGTTGTTCGTTGGTATGCCTAAAGCCGGCGAGCTGGCATACGCACGACGACGCTGGCAGGGATATGTTCGACATCATCCACGAGGGAGGCGGCGGAGGAGGTTGCTATGAGGAAATGCATGTGGATGACTCGGAGCCCACCCATGCTGGCTCGTACTCCCAGCCGGGAGCATAGTACACCCAGTCCGGCACTCATCCAGCCGAGCACGCAGTCGGGCTACACCCAACCCGGCACGTTCACCCATCCAGGCATGAACACACAACAACATGATTGAGCCGGCAAATGGCAGGAGGAGGAGGAAGGTGAGGATGATGATTTGGATGCTGCCGATCCAAAGAATAGGGGTAGAGGAGAAAGCTTCAAAATGCGGGAGGACGAGCTGTTGTGTGACACATGGTTGGCCACTAGTCTCGATCTGATCATGGCACGAAGCGAAAGGGCACAACGTTTTGGGCCAACATTCACACTTGGTTCCATGAACACAAGCATTTAGAGCCCTACTTCGACGTAGTCATCCGCAACCGTGAACAAAAGTTTCTCAACCATCGATGGTACACCATCCAAGAGGCCGTGTCAAAGTACTGCGGCCACTTGAGGTGACTCATCGCACGGTGGCCAAGTAGTGCGCAAGTCACCGAGCAAGTAAGTTGTTAACATGTCTACATCGTTTGGCCGGATATATATAGTTTTGTAGATGATTTGTAGCCGAATATGCATAGTTTCGTAGATCATTTGTAGCCAGATATGCATAGCTTTGTAGATCATTTTGACAGATATACATAGTTTTGTAACCGGATATGCATTGTTGTGTAGATCACTTGCCGGATATGCATAATTTTGTAGCCAGATATGCATTGTTGTGTAGATCATTTGCTGGAATGCATTGTTTTGTCGCCGGACCGGATATGATTGTTTTGTTGATAATTTTTAGTACAAAGAGATATCAGGTTGGCAAGTAAACTTTTGAAGCATAAAGAGATTTCTCTTAGTTTTTCATAAGTTTTGGTTAAGCATCACATCAGACTTAAGTCTCGGATACCATAACCCTCTTAGTAATACAAAGATCCTATGACTCAAATAAAAGAAAAAGAAACAATGAAACAAATAATATGTCTTTCCTTCGCCATCCATCTTCTTGACTGCAGTCATTCTTCTTCGAACACACCGCGACAGAATTGCTTCACTTCAGCAATATTTTGAGGGGTCGATTCATTCACGTAATCTTCTAGTATGGTTTCTTCTCGAAACACATCTATCTTTTCTCTGCAATGCAGACACTTCTCGATGAAGTTCTTCAAACTTCTCTTCAGAATATAGCATTCTTCTCGATACACCAGGGTCTATTTCTCTTGGTGTGCACTAGCAAACAAATCAGTCCCTTACTTTTTGACAACAATCTTCAAAACCTAAGGGGCAAGACAATTGCACCAACAACAATTCCTTCACATTTGGCCGCTTGTGGCTGGGGTGGTCCTCGACCCACAACAGGCTGATGTCTTCACTTGGTCTTGGGAGAAAGGAGGCCGGTTTTCTGCCAGTCTGCATATGCGGCCAAGTTCGCGACTATGGACGTGTTGCCCACTGCTACGTTCACTTGGGAATCTCGGACTCCGCTTCATTGCAGATTTTTTTGCGGTGCTAGCAATCAAAGACAGATGTTGGACATCCGATAGGTTGGCTTGTCAGGGCCTTCCGCATGAGGACGCCTGCCGGTTTTGTGACCAACACGATGAGATCATCAACCACCTTATTGCCGGCCATGTCTTCGCTAGGGAAGTATATGGACTAAAGTCTACATGGCCTTGGGGTCGATGGAAGGATCGAAGTACCAACGACATCAAGGATTGGTGCATTAGGCGGGGGCACCTTGGTCAACAAGCAAAGACGACACATGCTATATGTTTACTAGTCATGTGGGAGCTATGAAAACATCGGAACACCAACGTGTTTATGATGCCATGTCGTGTGCGCGGCAGGTGTTACGATGTATTGCGAGTGATTACAAGGTGTGGAAGCAAGTGGGTATTCTTCGAGTAGAGCTCGGGGTATTCCTTGCGGTGGTAGGACGATGGGAGGATAGGGAGTAGTCCGGCGAGGCATACATGTACTAACATCAAACTCAATTATGGTGGTGCTCTTTCCCCTTTTATTCTACTCCCTCCGTTCTAAATTAAGTGTCTCAATTTTGTACTAAGTTGTACTCCAGTAGTGCCAAAAAACGTCTTACATTATGGGACAAAGGAAGTATTAAACATATAAGACACTTATTTTTAGAAGGAGAGAGTATATTACACTCGTGCATATTCGAGAAAAAAATGTAGTTCACTTCGTCGGCGTCGCATTTGATTCCGTAGTTCCTTGTAGACTGGGAAAAGGGAGGAGTTGTATGCTGAGCCGCTTCCGTGTTGAGTTGGATGACCAAAATTGAGCTAACAGTATGTACGTATCTGATCATGCAACGTCCCTAAATCCACCTTACGTTGGACACTACACTCGTTACGTCGCTAAATCTGACAACTGCTTGGCTTCGGATCGGGACACAGTTAAGGAATCCGAAAAGGCCACTGCGTGGATTCAAAGATCAACTGCGGAAGGTTCCTGAGCACGACTCAGATTTGTTCCTGGCCTTTTATAAGCCACACAAGGGCCCTCGTCAACGAAGCACCCAGTGCACGCACGACGGCAACCAACAAACGCGAGATTCACAAACTCCCGTAATACGCGAGCGCCAGACGATCCATCCTCGATCGGATCAGCGGCGATACATGGCGCACGAGCAGGAGTCTTCGACGGAGGCCGCCGCCGGTGGTGGCCCGCCGCTATGCGCGAACGGCTGTGGGTTCTACGGGAGCGAGGTGACCAAGGGCATGTGCTCAAAGTGCTACCGCAACCACCTCAAGTCCACAGATGTGGCTGCCCCCGCCGTCGAGGGGAAGATCAATGCCGACGATCTCATCCTCGCCTTCAAGAAGTCGGTTAGCCTGAAGGACTCTACCGCTGAGGCGGCACCGGCGGCGGAGGCGACAGCGAAGAAGGCGGCGCCAACCAGGTGCATGGCGTGCAAGAAGAAGGTGGGGCTGCTGGGCTTCGCGTGCCGCTGCGGTGGTACCTTCTGCTCGCTGCACCGCTACGTGGACGGGCACGCGTGCGGCTTCGACTACAAGAAGGTCGGCCGGGAGCAGATCGCGCAGCAGAACCCTCTCGTCGCGCCGTCCAAGCTCCACAACAAGATATGAATGAAGGCAGGAAGAGTTGGAAAACATGTACAGTTTTAGTTTACTCATTCGCAAAGTTTCTTTGTAGCCTGTCCTTACTCATTTGCTTTACTGTCTCTCCTGTACTTAAATTAGATCTTTCAAGCACTAGCTCGATATAAGTTGAAGAAGGTCGATCTTATCTTTGGGGAGTGTCTATTTAGCGTTTGAATGTTTTACAATTGGAAAACATTCAAAAATTCTGACTACTAACAACATGCCACTTGTATGTCCAAGACCAACCCCCGTCCGAATTGTATGTAGCTGTATTTCAAAAGTAAACGGGTCAGGAAATAAACCCGAATAAACACAACCCGGCACTTGAACACAAAACAGAACGCACAGCTGTCTTTGAACTTGCATCTCACGCAAGTGCCAAACCCCTGAAAAAATCCCAGCGGCCCTACACATACATTTCTCCCTGGACAGATCTCACCTAGCACACCCTAAAACGGAGACTCCGCCATGGGAGAAGCGGTAGAGGAAGATGAAAGAACTGTACCATGGCAGATCCAGAATCTTATAGCCATAGGAGAAGGTGTGGGGAGGTACCTGGACAGGAGCAAGGAGGATCACAGGATTCACAGGCCAGGAACACTCTTAACAAATTCCTACCGCAAATAATCTTGATCCCCTTCATCAGGTTCACCATTTTTTCATCCCTTGACTCTGCTTCACCTATTACATTAGAGAAACAACTTACAAAAGGAAACCCAGAGACAGCAGGAGACTATGCTGATCACTAGAAAAATGCAAAACTCTGAAATTACAGAAAAATTTGCTGTCTACTCTGAAATATGTTGTATTTACACTGTAGGTACCTAGTAATTTCCAGTGTAAATCCTAGGAAATCCCAGTGTAAATCACTATGTAAATTAGGCTTGTAAAAATTGTTGAATTTATTACACTGTAAGTACCTATTAATTTACACTGTAAATCCCAGGAAATTCCAGTGTAAATTAGACTTCTAGAGAACTGATATAATTACACTGTAAGTATCAAATAAATTTCCAGTGTAAATGCCAGGAAATTCCAGTGCAAATTTGAAGAAAACTGATATAATTACAGAAGTGAAACACATATGGGAAAAATACAATGACAACAACTAGAACACCATAGCAAATAACTAAAAAAAAATCATAAGTACCTACATCACTAAAAAGTAACAAACAAATAGAAACATTACATGCCAGGAAGTTAAAATATAGAACAAATTACTACAGGAAATATCGTCTACAAGCATATTAACATTCTCTGAGAACGTGAATTACACAACAAATTAACAATTACGGGGAACTAACCACATTCCTCCTGGAAGCAGATGATAATTTCATCTTCAAGCATTTTACTTTCTGAAATGACGAAAACAAAAGGGTCACCCAAAAGTAAATACCAAAAATCAAAATTATTAAAATGGGCAGGAAAACACAAAACACACTTGATTCAGATAGAACGTAAAAAGAACTTTGCATGTCGAGCCCTCCTTCATCACTAGATAGTTCCTGCAAAACAAAAATAAGAAATAAGACAGACCAAAATAATTAAATCAAACTAAAAGACAAAAAGGAAAATAAAAATAAAGAAGAGAAGTAGAAATAAATAACAACCGGAGACTTAGGATAAGAACCATCTTCTGCAAAATTATTAGGCACAAAAGGTTCACTCACATAATCTGCACTATTGACAAATGATACTAATGGAACATCCTGATGAGAGGCTTTCTGTAGCCTACCCATTAAAACCTATAAATAGAACACAAGGAGGAAAAAAAAGAAATGAAGTTAAGTAACGGTAAAAGTCATCCAATTAAAAGGTAAAATCCACTATACTACAGTGCTGAAACATGCAAATTACTGTGAAAAATTGCTGAAGAAAAGCCCTACAGTACTGAAGCAAGCAAAGTACAGTGAAAACTAGCTAAATAAACACATAGAAACCAACAAAATTACTGAGCAAACTGGACTTAATTACACTGAAAATATAGACAAAATTACTGTGCACAAATTACACTGTAAATCCACTCAAATCACATGGAATTATCGGGTAAACTATACTGTAATGTTGGGATAAATTACACTATAATTACATTCAAATCCTTTTACACTTAGATGCTGGGACACACTGTAATGCTGGGATAGATTACACTGTAATTACATTCAAAATTACACTCTAACTCCACTCAAATTCCATGACAAATCACACTGGAAAAATATTAGGTAAATTACCCTCTAAGTCTGGGACAAATTACATTGTACTCCATCCGTTCGGAAATACTTGTCTCGGATATGGATATATCTAGAACTAAAATACGTCTAGATACATCCATTTTTACGACAAGTAATTCCGAACGAAGGGAGTAACAAATTACATTGTAATACTGAGATAAATTACACTATAAATATATTCAAACAACATTGTAAATCCACTCAAATCATACGACAAAATTGCAGTCGAAAAATTGAGTAAATTACACTGAAAAGCTGGGACAAATTACATTGTAATTTTTTTTGCGTTGAACTACACTGTAATTAGACTCAAAAATTACACTAGAAAAATTGAGTAACTGTAGGACTGGGACAAAATACACTAACTAGACTCAAATTACACCGGAAACATTGCGTACTGAGATAAATTACACTGTGGATATATTACACTGTAAATACATTCAAACAACACTGTAAATCCACTCAAATCATACGACAAAAATTACAGTAAAAATTTGAGTAAATTACACAGAAAGGCTAGGACAAATTATACTATAATTAGACTAAAAAATACACTTGAAATATTGAGTAAATTACACTGTAAGACTGGGACAAAATACACTGTAACTAGACTCAAATTAAACTGGAAACATTGGGTAAACTGTAAGGCTGGGACCAATTACATTGAAATGCTGAGATAAATTACACTGTAATTACATTCAGAATAACATTGTATATCCACTCAAACCCCATGACAAATTACAATTGAAGTACTGAGTAAATTACACTGAAAAGGCTGGGACAAATTACATTGTAATTAGACTGAAATTACATGCCCGCTTGAAGACAAAATTAGACAAAAACCTAGGGTAAAAAACACATGGCACAAGGGAAACTGCACACCTACATCTCAAAACTACATCTTCAGGAGATAATTCAGGGACTAAAAATAACTATATATGAGCAGGAAGCACTAGAACATGAGAGAGAGCAGGAAACAAACCGCGGAATCCCGCACCTACAAGTACATCTACAGAATCCCGCACGCTGCATCTACAAAATCCCACAAAACTCTGACAAACCGCGGACACGAGACAAAGGGAAACAACCGCTGCATCTACAACTACATCAGGGGCGCGGGGAGACGACCACAAACAGCCAGAAGACCTAGAAAACATACCTACCAGCGGCTACACCAGATGGCTAACACAACAAATCACGCATCTCCAGCGACCAACATGGCGAGAGGGCGACATGAACTCACCTAGATCTAGAACCAACAGAAGCAAAAAGCACACGTGAGAGAGAGAGAGAGAGAGAGAGAGAGAGAGGAACAACCAACCGTGACAGTCGAGGATCGAAGAGAAAGGGAAGAGAAATCAAGGTCGAGCGGCGGAAGATCTTGAAATCACCATGGACAGGAAGAATCGCCTCCTCTACGGAGCCGCTCCAGCGCTGCTCGAGTTGCCCCCAAATTCAAACAGGACAAAAGCCAAACAGAGATGGGGTGGTAACGGGCAAAGAGAAAACCGCGCCCGACAAAAAACCCGGACCCAGGAACAAGGCCGAACAAAAACATAAACCAGCACGAATCTCCGTGTTGGAATGGACGAACACCAATTTGAATGATAACGAATTGCAAAACATTCGACTGTAAAATAGCAAATCCGTATCTTTGTTGTTCATAGCGACGTATTCGTATTGATGTAACTGGGCACCATCATGTTACTCAGATTAATAATATCCACGTTTTCAAAAATTGATTAATAATATCCATGTAGCATTAGGGAAAAATTCTTTTATGCCAAGTGCAAGGTTGTTTGTTGAGTGTACTTCATTGGACACTCGCAAACAAGGCCTTTGCCAAGTGTACCGATGACAAAACTTGGTGAAAGAATGACACTCAGCAAACTGGTATGTTGCCTTGTGCCAAACAGAAAACACTCAACAAAGTAGTTTTTTATAAAATACCCGGCAAACAATTATAAATCAATAAAGTGCATATGTTTATTTGAATTTAGATTTGGGTTTGGATTCTGAAGAACAAACTCTTTAAATATTATTTGATAAATAGCAAGAAATGTAATTCATGTCTTAAAATTAGTATCCGGTTCCAAAAAATGCCAAAATTTGGCACTAGTAACATAATGTAATGTGTTCCACGCCGGGAAAATTAGGGATGTTTTAGATATTATTTCGCTATATATAAGCAATCAATAGCATTTAACGAACATAATTTTTAAATCTTAAGCGCAAGTGTATGAAAACGTTAGCAAAGATGGGTTCAAAACTATTTGTGTTCTTGAGTCAATGTTTAGGCCTTATATACAAGAAAAGAAGAGGAATTGTGAACACGAGGGTACCAAGTCTCAACCCGACCATGGAGCTCAGTCGTAGAGGAGGAAAATATTTTGAGGTGGGGTGGACTCTAAAGCATACAGAAGTTTGATGGAATCTAGATTGAAGATTGGGGAAAATTTGTGATGAGTTGGTTGAGCTGGACAAATTCAGAACATGAAGATGCAGATAATATAAAAATTCATATATCACGTTTTGCCTCCCAAAACATCTTCCCTTCTTGTCCATGACTAGCAACAACCTGCATTGGAGATTATTTGTTTTTAAATCTGAAAATTGCAAATGATGTCTAAATACTACTCCCTCCGTTTCATAATGTAGTGCATATAAATTTTCTGAGAAGTCAACCTAAGTAAACTTTGACTGAGTTTACAGAGGATACATTTTTTATATATAATAACAAACATATACAATATGAAAATATAACTGATGATGTATCCAATGATATACGTTTGGTATGTTAAATGTACATATTTTTGTCTATAAACATGCTCAAAGTTTGTAATGCTTGACTTTTGAAAAAAATCTTTACACACTATATTATGGAATGGAGGGAGTACGAAACATGGCGGGGCACCATGATATGATCCCTAAAGGTTGTGATGAAATCTTAATAAGAAAGTTTCGCAAAAGCTGTGACATACACTGCTTGAAAACCGAAGCATCTCTGAGGAAGAATCGATGTTTCGAGGGGAAACGGATCAGATTTGAAGGCAAAGTGTGACTTTCTTCATGGTTTGACCTTGAATTTTTGTTACACTCAACATACACCATCACATGTTTCATGTACAAATTTGTCATTTTTGGGGTTCGTTTGTTACGTTTAAGTCATTAAGAGCAACTCTAGCAGACCCCACAAAACGTCTCGGCCCGCAAAATAACCGCCAAATTGCGGGTCGGGGCCAAAAAATCTGCACGACCAGACCCCGCATCCGGCACCGGCCCGCAAAAATTTTTGCGGGGCGCGGCAAATCTTCTCCCCCAACCTCTATCTTCACGGGTTGGGAGGCCGACCCGAGCTCAACCCCCATACGGCGCGAGATTTGGCGGGAGGGACATTTCCACGCACCCTTTCCCGCTCCCGCACCCTCTGCCACCATCCCTCGCCCTCTGAAAGCTCCGGCTGCTCCTCCCTGGCCGTCCCTCGCCGCCATGGACGACCCCATGCTGTCCCCCGTCACCGTCGAGGTTGCGCACGCCCCTTCCCCTCGGGCGGATCTCGTCGCTGGCCATGTTGGCCCCGCCGGCGTTGCCCAAGCACACGCCGCGCTTGCCCGCAAGCGGCAGGGCAACGTGGTTGTGCAGGGCGGGAATCCGGCTGCCCCCGCCGCGATGGCCCGCGCTCCGGGCGCCAATGCCGCTTTGCGATCCCGGCCGGCGGCGGAGAAGGCCAGCAAGGCCGCGGGCGCAAAGCGGAGGAAGGTTCCGACTTCAAGGAAGCCATCTTCTTCAACCTCTCACTCCATCCCCCCGCAAGGAGGTGCTCCGGCGATGCCGTTCAACGGTGCCGCTCCCCCCGCGAGCGAGGTGTTCGACGAAATGGCCGGAAGGTATATCTCTTCAGACTTCGGTGATTCTCTTTCATTTTCGCCATTGTTTTCGATAGCTCGTGACTTGTTATCGTTCGCTATAGCGGTGGTTCGAACAATGCAACAACCAAGTTCGTGAACTTGTTGGACACGAACGCGGTTGACATTGATCAAGCCCCTTTCGAACCTTTCGACTACAATGAAATTAAAGGAGTTGCAAGTGCATTAAACAGATATAGTTCACATTTGATCAAGCCCCTTTAATTTCGTTTAATGCACTTGCAACTACAATGAAATTGAACGGATATAGTTCACATTTGAACTGCATGTGCATTAGAAAGTTGAAAATTTTTGGTTAAAAAATCCTAACTTTGTTCTTGAGTCTATGTTTATCCCTTATTCAAGAAAATTAAAGGAGTTGGAAACATTAGGGTGCTAAGACTTGACCACGAACATAGAGGTTACTGGTTTTCTACTTCTATAAAAGACAAGGCAAACAAAGTATGAAAAACATGAAACCTACAAATGGTGTCATAATATGATACCCATATGTTGCGGTAAAGATTTGAGCAGTTTTTGCAAAATTTGCTATGTACACTGCTCCAAACTGGAACATCTCCAAGGAAGAATCATGGTTTTGATAAGGAACATGTCAAGTTTGAAGGTGAAGCGATCACTGCTTCATCCATTGGCCTTTAGTTTTTTCTATGCTTAAGATACATCATGGCATGTTCTATGTCCAAATTCGACATTTTTTGTTGTTCATTCATTATATTTAAGTTGTTTGGTGCATTTCTAGGCATTTAGTGAATACATTTAAAATTCTAACCGCAATTGCATGAATTTTTATGACAAAATTAGGTTGAAAATAATAATTGTATTCTTGAGTATATGTTTTGGACATATCCAACAAAAATAGGGGAATTCCCAACATCAGGATGACATGACTCGACCCTGAACATGAATCTTATTGGTTTTTCAATTCTAGAAAATACAAATGAAGTCTGAAAAATGCGAACCTAGAATGGTTTAATTATATGATTTCATACCTATATGCTGTGGTAAATTTTCAGAAGTTTTGGCAGAAATTGTGATGTACATTGCTTAAAAGCTGGACCATCTTTGAAGAAAGAAAAATCTAATTTTTGAGATGGAAAATGTCAGGTTTCAAGGAGAAAAGACTATTGCTTCATCGGTTGGCCTTGAAAAAAAAATCAACATACACCGCTATATTT